CTATCTATCTATCTATCTATCTATCTATCTATCTATCTATCTATCTATCTATGTCTGTCTATTGTTCTATCGTTCTATCTATTGTTCTATCATCTCTGTCTGTCTGTCTGCGTGACCTTAAAACCTTCAGAATTCAATCTTTTTAAACTGCTTCAAACCTTTGGCCAGGCTTACTCAAGCCAACATCAAAGTTTGCTTTAGTGAACTTTTTTAATCTAGTTTACATTGTGTTATTACTGGAGTCCTCTCTATTGAGCAGCTGTGCCAGTGGTGTATAAAGGACAGGATATTGTTAGCCAGAGGGTGGAAGTTGGCAGGTGAAAAGAAAAAGATTGTTTTTGTGGAGTTTTCTCAATAAACTGTCATCTCAGTTTTTAATTAATAGAGACACAAAAGCACTGTAACTTCAGTTAGTGGTCAAGGTAAAGATAGTGGTTAAGGTAAAGAGATACTCACTCTCTCTTTCTCACTGCTCAACAGCATGTTCAGAATAAAATACTAGCATGCTGCTTACTGCATGTTGTGCAGTGTACACTGCATACTGCCTATTATTTTTTAAACAGCAATAATGCACTCTAAAAAATGCTGGGTTTTATGCCCTATTTTACCTAGCAATGGGTTGTATTTAACCCAGCATTTTTTAGAGTGTGGTTTTCTTTCCTGGTGAAGTTGATAATTAGTATGTAGTATGTTATTCAGAATATCCCCTCATAAATGCACCCACATGCAATTTTTTTTTCAAATGTAAGGCATGTGTACCAACACATTAGAAAATACTTGCTGTGTAATGCTATTAATGACATTCAAAATAACAACAGCTATAATTATGCTAATGACCCCTGATTGTTGTGATTGAAAAGCTACCATTTCATTTTCATGCACTGGGAGATGGAGGCCATTAAGAAACATATGCGTCTGATGGCACATCATCTGTGAATATCGCAGTTGTGCTTGTCATAGCGAGAGGTTATACAGCAATGTCCTTAGCCAGCGCTCTGGATTAGCCAGAAAATTACTCACAAACCATATGTTAGATTTTTATATCAGTTCCTATACAGAGTTGAAGTGGCTTGCAGAGATTCACATGTTTAACGTGCATTTGTCATTGTGCAAATATAATTTGTTGGTGCTGTGCATGCTGTCAAGTAACACTAGAAGACGTGTTAACATTAGAAGGTTTCGGATCTCCCTTTGTGAAAAGAAGTGTACATAACTGTTTTGTATTTGTGCTTGTAGTGTACTTCATATCGTAAATGTACAGTACATTTACTGTACTTGAGGATAATATAATTTTAATAAAATAAAAGGCCACTTACTGTAAGTGTACTTAAAGAGAGACATCCGTGTGTTTCTTAACACACTTAAGTACTCTTTTAAAAAGTGCACTTTTTAATAATGTGAAATGAAAGGTTTATGTTAAAGTGCATTTTAATTTCATGTTTTAATTTTTAATAAAAACTGAATATGTTGTAGTCATTTTTTGTTGTATTTAAATAAATACATTTATTTTGATGTGTTGAGCACCTGCTTATAGCTCTCACAAAAAAAAAATCTAAGGTTAGGTGAAAAAGTGTTCTTTCATAATG